TCTTTAAAAAAAAATAATTTTCTTTAATACACAATTCGTAATTTAACAATGATTTACAAAATTAGAGGACCTTAAAGCTGATAACACGTTAATAGGGTTAAGCACCTTTATAGGAATAATTCCTGAAATAGTAGTTTTTTATTTTGGGAAAAATATCATAGAATTTACGTTTCCGGAAGTTATTATTGTAGCAGGAGGAATGATAACTACTCTGAGAGCTTCATTATATGCGTTTTTTGGCCAAAATATGAATCCTTGGTTAGCTCTCCCAATCGAGTTGGTAATAATACTATGACAATAATAATAGTTTATCTTATAATCGATTCATTAACGTTTGTGATAACTATTAATTTAATAGTGTCAAGGACTTGAGTATGGATTGATGAAGTCAGCATCTCTAGAAATTATATCACAAGTAGCACCATCGAGATTGAAGGCTACAGCGCTTGGCATAGTTGCAGCGACAGAAAGTTTGTCTACAGGTCGGTGTTTAAAGACTGCGTTATTTTTTTTTAATAAAAAAAAAATTCAGAATTCTTAAATTTTTACTATTTCATATACGCATAAAAGGTCTTGGACAGATTGTCGGGGGACTATTATACGGAAATTTTGGAGCCGTTAAAATGTTTCTATATACAGCATGGATCGGAATATTGACAATTATTATTTACGTTGCTGGACTTTCATTACAAAAAAGACGATCCTATTACTCTTGAAGATAATTGCATAATATTATATTATGACAAGAAAATTCAAAAATAGAAAATAATAATCACAAAATAGATTTTTTGCATTTTATATATAATAGCTATTTTACAGAATCTTTCAATTTTTCAAAATATTTTTAATATATTAATATTAGAATATTGCTAACTTGCCTAGGGTGTGCAACGGCCTATTAAAATCATATAGTTAGGGTCACTAATGATCATCACTAATTGCGGATTCTCTAATGGTAATTTTGGGTTTATCTCAGAATCCTGATACTTAAAATTCCGATGCTCAAAATCCCGAAAATAAAATCCCGATAATATTAAATTTTGCTTTCGGGATTTTAAGTGTTGAGATTTTAGATATCAGGATTCTGAGGTAAACTGGTAATTTTATTATGTATTTACTAGTAAAACTGCGCCGTTTCGCAGGGCTGGAGCCTTATTTATTACACGCTTAAACTTGATAATAAAATTTATAACATACATAATGTGATAATTTTAAGTTGCATATTTATAAGTTTATTTTAATGTAGTATGCATGTAACAATTATAAATTTTCATTTAAGATTCATAAATTTATAAAGAATGTAATCCTTGCTCTTCGGCTAATCTCTGTTGTAAACGTGTGCTTTCTCCTAACTTCTGTAATCTATTATAAGAGAATGTATTGCTGAAAAGAAGATCAGAAAGAGCATGGACTCTTGATACAGCTACAAATGTAAGACCTATAGCGAATTCCTTATTGCCAATGTCTAATACGGTTCGTAATAGTGTTAAACCGTGCGATTTGTGGATCGTAATTGTCCAAGCAAGGCACAATGAAAATTGCATATGAGAACAAGTTCCCGATTTTGCTTCTGAATTATTTAACATGCATAGAGTTGGACCTGTATAATTATATATATATAGTGTATTTTTATATAATAATATTTTTTTTTTACATACCAAGGTCCATATTATTTTCATTTGAAAACTTTTTGGGGTTAATGTTTCTTGATGTATCTAGTACATAATCCTGTTTTATGTACTAATACAATTGTAAATTAAGTGCAGAAACTGCATTGTGAAACTTTTTTAGAAGTTCCTGATTGTAATTAGAAAGCTAACATGCAAGTGGTAGTGACAAGATATTTTGATCCTCTAAAAAATAAAAAATTAGTTAATATAAGGGTTATATAATTTAGTGCACCTGTGTTGTAACACACCCACCTGATTGACTAATCAGATTGTAAGATCAGGTGTGATGTGAAATTGAAAAAAATAGCGATGTTTTGAAAAAATCACTTGTAACACATAATTTTGCTTATGAAACCACCTTTTGCATCCTAACAAAAAAAATTCTTTGCAAAATTTTGGGTATAACTAATATTTATCTACAATCTAACCTAGCCCTACGTTAGTGCTAACCCTTACTCTAAATTAATGTGTTGTTGGTTTGATTTGATTTTATATTATACCAGATTTTATGGGGTGTGTCACAATATACATGTGCTAAATGATAAAATTCTTAATATAAATAGTCAATATTTTATAATTGAAGTTTGCTATTTATCACCACTGGTGATTATCACCAGTGCATAATTAGCCAATCAATTTGCAAGATCAGGTATAATATGTAGATCAGTTTTGTGTAATAAAAACAAAGAATTTTTTAAAAAATCAATCATATCTCAAAATTTTGTCTATAAACCTACCTTTTGGGCTCTAATAAAAAAAATTCTTTACAAAATTTTACTATAGATTTTGTTTAACTTTATTATCAAACTATTACTCTTACCCTAATATCAAAACAAATAAACTTTTGTTTAAAAAGTTTATATATTATATCTAATTATTTATTATAAATCACCGATAATAATTACTAGTGGTGATTTGTAGTAATTTTTTTTATAAGGGACGTAACAAAAATCAGGTGATTTTTTAGAGGGGAGAGGAGTAAAAAATTTAAAATTATATATAAAGATCTGATCAAGATATATAGTAAGAGAAGGGGAGGGGGTAAGCTTCTGATAAAAAAAATCAGGTGATAAATGACACTGCTCTAATTTGTTGAAATTATAATAAACATTATATTTGTTACTCAGATTTGTATTTTCTTTTTTGATATTATATTTATACTGATTTTGCTTTTTATTGACTCATTGTTTTGGTAACTTAACTGTTTTTCAGGTGTCATAAAAGCTAATCTCTTTCTTTTAGTATCATTTCTTGTAGTTTTCTGTTCAGGTATATAAATTTTTTTTTATTATATTGATACAATAAATTATTAATTCACTTTTAATTAATTTATTATATATAATTATTATATTAATTGTCTTTATTTATTATGCTTATTAGTTTATTTTATTTATCATATATAGTATCATTATCAATTAGAAGTCTCTGATGAAATACAAGACCAATATGGATATACCAATTCTAAAAACCAACCAATATAGCTATAAGTTGAAAGTAATATTATTATACAAAACTTGATTAGAAGTAGCTTTACTAATTAGAATTATACTCATATTTAGATTTCTACCAATTTGGAAAATATATAAATGAATATACTGTATATATATTTAAATAATAAGTCTACTACTAAAAGGGTATGAAGATTGGCTAGATGATTAGGGAAGCAATCTGAGAATTTATCTGAGTAAAATTCTATATATAGATAGGTATGTACACCAAAAAATTGGGAGTACTTAGATATAACAGTAGAAAAATTCTACTAATTTGATAGTTTATATAGTATATGAAAAATATATTAAACATAATATAATAGTATAGAAACTCCTGATATATATTAAAAGTAGGGTTAGATAAATCAAATAGAGATATGCATTTGTGAATAAAATAGTCCTAAATTGAAGTTTTATTAGATATACTATAGTTATCACATAATTTGTAATTATAATATATGTAATAAAGACCTAGCCAAAAGATGCTACCTTTAAAAAAAAAAAAATAAAATAAAAAAAAATATAGTATCATTATTAATAATTGAAATTCTGATTAAATTTTTATAAAAAATTTGAATGCTCAAAATCAATTTATATAATTACAAGAGTAGGAGCCAAACATTAATCCAAATTAGTAAAGTATAGAAAGGTCTTACACTTCACTTTCCTTCACTCTAGCCCAATTATCTAATAATTATATATATATATATATATTTTTTTTTTTTTAACGTCTCCCCTCTTGGGAGCTGGGATTTTTATTCTAGTATATATATCAAGGAGTTCTCT